ACAGTACATTATTCTGCGATTACTATAACTATACATGGTATAATGAAAATATGTCATACACCATGCAAAAGAATATTATTAAGTTGATATACCTTTGCTTTTGTATTTACATAACAGTGTTCTATGATTACGATAATTTTATATAGTAAATTTTAGATTAAGCATGTCTTCCAATGTATCAGATGCAATAAAATAATCACATAGTTTTTTATACCTCATGTTAGGTGGTCTGAAAGGCTGTATCCAATGACAAGTGTTCGCTTATTTTCCTCGTTACACAGTTTACATCTAGATTCATCTGCACTTCGAGCGCAACGTATTCTGTCAATATCCACCTCACACTGGTTTTACTTCGGTATCAGCCACAGGAGGGCTTACTATCTCTATACCGATCGAAGTGCCTTATACTACAGCTTTCAAGCCTTTGTGAGCTCGTCATATCAGTTCTTCCTTGTGAGAACATTTTAATATATGTGCAACCCTAGCAAGAGGCATCCCAAGATCTATATTTACGTAATCTTTGCTGCAAGCTTTTTTTCGCCAATTTGTCTACGTGGCTGTGCTTGCGTATACCAACACAAGATGGTATCCATACAAATTGCATAAGTTACGTTACAGTTAATGCAGTTCACAATTTCCTCATCGTCTTTTGTTTTGAAGGAACATACCAAAGCGCTTTAAGAGTCAAAAAATATAACGAGAACCCCGAGACATTAAGTATTCTGTTGCCAACTCCGTCTGATTAGTGCTGGCTCCATTTTGCACTCTCATGTTAACTTCATGTTGCAGTACACCATTATCGTATATAGCGCAAGCACAACCAGCTTTGTATTCAGACTGTCCGGATCTGTCAACATAACACTTGTACACATCGCCCATAGATTATGTGTATTCCCTTACCGTTGCTAGAGCAGTTTGCTTCAACACTTTTTTCGGTTTACAAATAAAGTGCACAATCCGTGATGATTTTTTCATGGGGCAATGGATCGACTTTTAGGTATTTTACTCATGGGGACGTTAAACTTCCTTGTATATTTTGTGTATCAGAGACCGCTCGTGTCTATGATTAGCGTCGTCTGCGTGCGTGACTTTGTTGCAGCTGTTACAAAGGTTCCCTTAGAGCTCTTACCCCAAATAAAGTGCAAATATATATTACTATATCAAAATGGATGGAGAGTTTAGCTCTGATCTCATGTTCACTATCCTTGCTGTTCTCGGGGCGCCGAGGATAATCCTCATAGCTTCATTTTGTACTAATCCTCATAGCTTCATTTTGTACTATCTCCTTACGTTGCAAATAGTGCTATGCGTAGTCAACAACTTATACAGGCAAAGTAAAACAGTTTAGCTTTCTTCACATTGACGATATGTCCCTTTCCGACAAGAGCTTTCAGTGATTTCAGTCTCTCCCAGAGTCTCTTCTTCAGAGAAGCGATCAGGTCTGTATCATTTACGTTCAACCCGAGATATTTCTACTTATGACACACGTCAAGCTCCTGGTTTCCTATGTGAAATGTGGGTTGGGGTATAATACACTGGTTGAGAGCCATTGTTTTCTTAGATGGGATGACTAATCCACACTCATGAGCCCTTGTTGTGAGTTCGTCGAGAATTCTTTGCATGCTCTCATATGATGCTCTAACACATATGTCATCAGCATAACATAAAACAGATTTTCCATCCCCAATAGGAATATCTGTCACCAACTTGTGCGGAAGGACATTAAACAGCAATGGGCTAAGAGCTCCTCCCTGTGGCGTCCCAAGTTCAAAGAACTGTGAGGTGGAACTCCTCACTCCCCTGAACAAGACTCTTGCGGATCTGTTAGAAAGATAGATTCTAATCCAACTCAATAATTTGCCCCGTATGCCAAAGCTTACCAATTGTTCTATGATAACTTCTCTGCATGCAATGTTGTGTGCTACGTCCCGTTAGGAATCCGTACAGTCTGTGAAATAATTTACCTTCTACCTGAGTCTGTTTAACATTATCCTTTCTAGAATTTTGCATGAATATGAGGTTAGTGAAATTAGGCGGTATTTATCAGTGTTTGGTTTCGGTATAGGCATAATTAGGCTGCGCATCCAGGAGTCAGGCAAAACACCTTGTGACAAGCTTTATCTGTACAGGTGCAAAAGGGGATTACCAGGTACCTGGGCTATAACGCGAAGGACACTACAGGTAATTCCATCTTCACCTGGGGCGGACGCCTTGCCTTTGCTTAATACATTGTTCAGTCCACACTAATTTCAGCAAAGTCTGAAATGGAATCAGAATACCCAATCTCTATAGCAAATTTCCGAGCAATTTTAGACTGACTAAGGTGATTCTGAATATTTGTGGGAAGTGAGCTCAGTTTGGACGCTCCAGCCCACTGACTAAGGCGCATATCTGCCTGTGCAAGAGGACTATGAAACTGTGGAGAATTAGTCGGTTTGCCTGAAAGACGATTAATTTTTTTTCCAAACCTCAGACACTGAAGTGTTATTGTTAATGCTTTGGAGGAACCGTTCAAAGTGTTAATTTCTAATTTGAGTTTTTAATTCCCGTAGATTTTTGTTAGCCCTAAGAAATTGTATGAGGTCACGGGTAATGATAATATGTGGTCACATACCCATATAGGTTGTCTTGAGAGTTGTGAGTTATTGTGATTTAAGGTTTTCTTTGGACAGACCTAGGTGTTGTAGTAATCAGTGACCACTTTCGTCATATCCGCGAAAAAATTATTAACACGTTACTATGTATTCGTTATACCAATCATAAATGCGTGATTTAAAATGGTGCTCAAGGCAGGGAGGAATAAAGATTTTCAACCTACTTGATTTTGTGGATTGGTTATTATCAACTGTGTATCTCGTTCCTGTTGCAAAGTGGTCACCGATTAACTCTGTTGCAAGCATGCATCTGACGCTACCATGCACAAGATCCCTTCCTATAACATAATCTAACCTGCCACCAGCACGTGAGTTTTCCTGTCTGTATCATATACGGTCATTGATCTGTCGTTCACAAAATGTCCGAACTCTTTGCCATGATTCTGAAAGTTGGGCAGTGAATCAGTTTGAAACTTTTTACACCTTGCGTATGCATTGAACGGGGAGAAAAGACCCAGAGGCTGTTCGAATATGTAGATGATGATATTGCACATTGTTGTCATCGGACGTCTTCACCAGTTTATGCGGTATGGCGTCACTAACATAAGTCAGTAGACCTGTCATTTCTGTTTGTATAGAAATGATATCCTCTAATTCTAGGGGCGGTTTTTAATTTAGTGATTGATGTGAAGGGCTCTTGTAAACAGACAATGTCAACATTATTATTATAAACATAATAAAGCAAGTAATTAATTCTACAGTTGACACCAGAAAGAAGAAAATTTTCTTGTACCCCATCACACCTTATTATTAGCTGTGGCCAAATCTTTGTTTAATGAGGCCCTTTAGTTTACATATGTCTTTTATAGCATTACATATAGCTGTTGCTTCTTATCTATTTGCAAAGGTTCTGCGCATTTCCCTTATATTGATATTATACGCATAATCCGTACCTGCCATCATTTTCTGTGTTTTCCGTTTCTTCGCAGACGCCATTTTCACTGTCGTCACTGTTTTCAGATGATTCGCCGAAGGTATCATGTGTAATATAAACATTAGCATGAGAGACCTCATTCATATTTTCGATATCACTGATATCATTAGGAAGGGTATTTTTTCCTTTTATACGCTATCACTTTCTTTTTCCATTAGCAGTTTTTTTCAGTTCAGCAAGGTTTCTTATTTCCTCGGCCATTTCCTTTATTTTTTCACCATTCGTTAGATCTGTGGCACTGTTTTCTGGGATGGGACCCCCCCCCCCCGTCCCCACGCAGCCGTGGGAATTAGTGACGTCACACGGCACCAGGCGGAGTGTAGCTGGGCTGGGCATCGCCACTCCGCAGTCAATGGGTACGGTCGGGGCAGGGGGGGGGATGCATACCGGCTTGTGGGGGGCAGTTACGGTGCCAGGCCGTGACACCTTGCTCGCCGCAGCTGACGCGCCTCTTTACAATGGTGACGGCGTCTTCGTTGTCGTTGTCCTTTTCGTTGTTTCTTTTAAGGCAATCCGTAGAATTGAGTCATACAGGCGAGGACCAGCAAGTGCGGTGAGGTAGGATAATGTAGCATCATTATTACTATTTTTATCATTATTACCATTATCATAATCATTGTCAATATCATTATCATTATCAAAATTATTATCATTATCAGTATTACTAGTATCATTACTATTACTGCTAGTACTAAAGCTAATACTATTATTATTATCACTCAAAATGAACGACCATTCGATTGCTTTATCATTCATTCAGGTATTAAGAGAGAGAGAGAGAGAGAGAGAGAGAGAGAGAGAGAGAGAGAGAGAGAGAGAGAGAGAGAGAGAGAGAGAGAGAGAGAGAGAGAGAGAGAGAGAGAGAGGCGGGGAATCACAGAAAGAGGGGGGAGGGGGAAGAGATATCCAGACAGAAAAAAAAGTTGAACGACAGGAAGAAAATAAAAAAAAATATATATAATCTAATTGGAAGTTTACACAGTTATTTACA